GTAAAGATAACAATATCCGTCTTGTCTAGATTAACAGAGACGCCAGTTCGTTCATACCATCTTCTGACGATCTTTAATGCCCTTTCTGTCAATTCTAAGAGTGTATCTAACGAGAGACCTCTTACAATAATCAGGAAGTTGTTCGCGTAGCTTTGCTTATAAAATCCATGGCCGTTGAGTTCTACTAATAACTCATCTGCGACTAAGCTCCACAATAGAGGACATAACACCCCGCCTTGTGGGCAACCGTAGGAAACTAGGCTATTTATTTTGGCCTCTCCTTACTCTGCTTCCAGGGCTCTATTATGGAGCATACCTTTAATCCACCTAATCAATGGATTTGGTATGCCACATCTTTTAGCAGCATTGCATATTACTTGACTACAGGTGTTAGAGGAATCGCTGAATGAAGGACTGTTTCTACAGAACAGCCTGCTGTATAGGCGTGCTGTCCTGGATGTAAAGGTTGATTTATCAGACATTCCTGTCTGATAAAAGTATCGATCAGTTTCTCCAACGTCTTAAGAATGAAGGAGGTTAAACTGATCGGTTGTAATCTTTGGCTGCTGTATAACCAGCACGCCCAGCCTTCGGAATAAACATTACTCTGGTCATTTTCCATGCCTCAGGAGTGTCGCTCAGAGCTATACTTGCTCTCATGATTTTAACCAAGGGTAAACGAACATACCGCAGTCCTTTCTGTAACAGAATCGGGTATATGCTGTCTCCCCCTGGTGCCTTACATGGCTTAAACAAGCCTAAAGCCCAATCAATCTTTTCCAGAGTCACAATATCGGTTGTAAGTTTCCAGTGTTCTCGTCTAGGACGAGATTTACGTGGATTCCGATCCCCATTGCTTTGCTCTGATTCTCTAAAGTCGCGGAAATTAATTCCCAAAAGATGCCCAGATACTCAGCTCTGTCACGGGAGAAACGTCCATTAGGTAGCTTAATTGAAGATAGCTTAGCTGTGGCATCTCTGGCTAGAGTTTTATGAAGTCTAGATTCTTCTGGTATCTTCTCAATACCTTCGCAAAAGCTCCTCTAGCCGGATGCTCGATTCTTGCCTTGTCTTATCTCTTTTTTATAGGAATTACGAGCGTTATGGTACAATGCCCATGCATGTTGATTCCTATTTTTCTATGCTTTATGCAGCAACATTCTCACTTTACCCCTAATACTTTCCAACTTAACATTCCACCAAGAAGTTTTCCTGCTACTTTCAAGTCATTTTGGGTTACAGTTTCTCTTAAAAGGGGACATAATTGAATTCTGCAAAAAATTTGCTGCAAGTTCCAACTCCTCTTCTGTACCATAACTAGTAGGAAAGCATTCCATAGAGTCCCTAAGGTATTTACAATGTGAAGACCAGTTGGTACTTCTAGGATTACGACCGTGCTTATATTCACGAGCAGCTAACTCTATTCTAAACGTTATAAGTCTGTGGTCTGAAAGTGAGTCTTTATCCGACACTCTTCAATCCTGCACTTCCTCCCACATTGACCTCGAACAGATAGTAATATCCAAAACCTCCCTCCTGTTTTTAGTAACAAAGGTAGGCTCGTTTCCCTGATTAAGGAAGGCTGGGTCTGAATCAACTAGAAAATCTAGAAGTTTCACACCACTATCATTGATGTCTGTACTATCCCAAATAACATGGTGTGCACTGGCATCACAACCCAGAATAAGAAAAAGTCCCTCCTGATGACAGTACTCCACTAGTCTTATCACCTCGTCTAATGGTGAGGGTTCATTTTCTGATCCTGGAAAGTAACCAGAGGCAAGAATCATCTCTTGGTTACTTCCAGTTTTATCTCGATACATGACTTTTATAACTGACAGATCTCGACTAGTTAACTCTAAAAGAGGAAACGCATTTACTCCCTTATAGGCGACACACGCCCTGGGTGCAAATTCCTGTGGTGAATTTACTAACTCCCCACAGTTACTCAAACCTCTAATCTTACCCTTGTAAACCCAAGGTTCTTGAATAAAGGCAATAGCTGTGTGCACCGCTGTCAAGCTCTTGGCTGACTGATTCAGAATCGCCGTTGCGCTTTTACAGTGATGCAAGTTAATTTGCGAACATTGAATTCCGTGGCCCGTCAAGTTTAGGACTGACAGTCGGAATCCTCCGTCGTTTTCCTACTCGTGCGTTGTCCACCACTGTCCGTGGCCGTTCTGTGCTTACTCACCCGAAGAGTGATCTGCCCAAGACCGAGACACACTTTTTAGTTGAGAGACTCGAGCACATCCAGCTGAGTATCCACCCCAGGATTCTGTCTCCTGAGGTTAGTCAGGATTGCAGCCTGGTCGACCTTTGGACCTGGTAGCCAAGCTACCGCCCTGACCCTCTTAATGAGGTTAGAAGAATCTATCACTTTAAGTGACATACCCTCGATTGCCTAACTACTTTTCGGTACGTGGACATTCAACCACTCTCGAGAATCAGAGTCAAGGCACTCAATTAAGATCGCCCCTCCTGAGAGGCGAACTTCACCAAAACGAGGTGCAGGCCGAGCCGTGGACCTCGTGATTTCATTGAAGATAGATACCCTTAAGAGGCCCAGCTGATCCAGAGTCAGCCTCCTCCGGGAACCCCTCCGCAATAATCGCTCCTGAAAAGGACGATCTTGCCATTTGAGAGAATGAGGCGGTTCCTACCAGGGGTCTCTGCCACCTTCTCTTCTCCTGCTGTGGAGAGGCGTCTGAGTCTTGTCGGCGCGGACGCTTTTTTGTGCCCTGACCAACAAACCCAGCTTTACTGTTAGCAGGCATAGAAGTCGAGGAAGAAGCAGGTTGAGACCCTTGCCGGTTCTGCCCCGCCGTGGTGGCCCGGCATCAGAAAAGGGCCCCTGTAGGTTACCGCGTGTCGTAAGAAGTGACTAAAGGATACCCCCTGCTGGAACGAGAATGGAGTCCCAGCTAGGGGCTGGCAGTGCAAAGGCGTTAATGCAAGTCAAATATTTGTTCGTCCGTCCTCAATGCGATCCGTGCGAGTCGGATAATTATGTGAATGCGTCCCAAAAGCCACGGTGATGATAGTGAACTCCCGTAATGGTAATGGTAAAGGACGGTGGTCTGTGTTATACTTGCAACTGTTATTGTCTGAGGAGGTTCGCTTTAGAGTTTTTCTGGCATCAATCTCGCCGCTGCCAACAATTAACAAACCTGTGTAACATTGGTCAATAAACATCCCAAAATGCCGAATGGTTCGATCGTGATGTTCCAATAGGCTAATGGTAAAGGATGGTGGCATCGGCACGTGTTGTCGCTTGCCTTGACCTGAAGTAGTTCCGAGTTTTTCGGAAATCACTACCTTCCGGTTGGTCTTGGCATATATGTGGGGCATGCTGTCGTATTTAACCGGTAACCGACCGCCAGTATGGCCTTCGGTTCCCCGAATACTGGAAAGTGGTACTCGTACCTGAGTTGAATGGTATCACGGGACGTGTCTGGAGCCCAGGAGACTTACGGGTCTCCGCCAGGCATTGGGTATGGATTCGTGGTGGCAGTGGTATGCCCACATCGCTTTAGGGTTAGCGTGCGTTAGTACGTGGCAACACGTCTTTCGCATTCGGTGTGTGAGTTGCATTAACTCAACTCGGGTGGAAACCTGCAGAGTTTCCAGGGATAGGAAAGGTCCTGGCTCTCACCAAGAGTTGCAATCGTGACTTAGGTCAGTCGCATTGTCAATTGGCAGGTGACTGGAAGAAATTCTGTGTCATCGGTGCTGGTCAGGCATTAACCTTGACCCCGTGACATTATGGGGTCCGTGTGGGTATACCTGTACAGGGAGATCTCGCACGTAAAACTACTAGGCGATTGCCGGTTCTGCTTCCTTCTTAAACTGACACTGAGCTTTTTACCGTTAACGGATAAGCTCGCCATTAGGTCTTCGACCACATGAACAGTGTAACCTTGGGATGGTCCCGAACTGTTCTGCATCAGAGCCTCAGAACTTAATGGTTCCCTTTTATGTCCCATTTCATTGTGAGGCGAATTTGACGGGGTTGAAGGTGCCCTTTCTTCCTGCGGCAATGTCTCCGGCCCTAAATCCCGACTCTCCGAAGAGTGTTCGGTGTTCTCAGGTGAAACAATTTTGTTTTTATTATCCGAAGTCTCCATTTAGATCCTAACTCTTTACTTATACATTCTAAAAATTATTGCGCAGCTGGAAAGTCCTAAGAAAACTACTGAGCAGCCTTTAAAGTTTTTAATTTTTACTAAACGAAGACATAAATAAACTTGCACAAGAATATGTAGGTACTTTTTTGTATACAAATATTAAATATATTTTATTGTACAAGATCTTGTGCAAGATTTGGTTCAAGTTAAGATACAAAAACTTGTTCCAAATTGTTGTGCCGAAATTGTTTTTCTTGTACATGTTATCACCAGAACAGGTACAAGTTCAGCTGCTGAACATGTACATTTTCTTGTACAGGAATTTCTAATAGGATAGGTTGCAGGAAAAATGTCCCGCTATAACAGAATTACTAAAAATTCGAATAGGCAGAGGTGGCGTTCCTTGCTGGGAATTTTTCGAAACTAAATTTCACTTATATGTAAAATAATTTGAAATGGAAATTCTATATTTAATAAAAAATAATTTTTATTTAAAAATACTATTATTTTCTTAATTTTATTTTAAATTCTAAAACATTATAAATTATAAATAGAAAAACTATATAAATGATTTAACTGCGAGAGAAAATGAATAATATAGTACGAAATATGATGCAAGATAATTTCTTTTTCTTTTGTTACTTACACCGCGAACGGGTAAAAAAACTCTTTGTCACTAGGCGACTTCTCGATTTTAAGCAATTTACTTGTGAAGGGCCTTAGGCCGCTAATCTTCGGTAAACCTCTAGACCTTATAATAGGTATTCGTCAAAAGTTATTTTTTGAATTCTTTTAAACTAGGCACTTATTTTTGGGATTATAGTTTTGATTGAATTTTGGTTTATTGTTTAAAATAACATTATTATGTTTTAGAAATTGCACTTCAACAAGTATCCCTAGCCTTACGTAGTGACGCGAATTATGAGGTCGGAAAGGCCATTCCGGATATGGGATGGCGGCTGAGGAAACATTATTACACTGTGAAAAATAGGCAAAATCCTAAGCAAGAATTGTTACTTGCCTGGGTGGAATTTGGGCCAGATAAACATCTCCAAGACAAGGATATGCAGGGTGTCTTTAAAAGTTTAGGCACTTTAAAACACGCACACATAGAAGGAATTGTACATCAACATGTAACTGAAAATGGAGCCTTGACTATTCGTAATTTCCACGCAGAGGGGACTCTGAGAGATATTCTCTGCAGTACTAAGCCTAAGCAACCTTTCATTAAAAAATATGGAAATCCTAAACAGACCAAGTCTTTGTCTGCTTCGGAAATAGCAACTTATGGTTACGAGGTTGGTTTAACAATCAAACAGATTTTAATTTTAAGTGGTTTCGTTTAGCTCCATTACACAAATATACTCAATTTAAGTCATAAGGATTAAATACTGAACTGATTTCAATTTAACTTTTAGATTTTGGAAGCTTTATCCTTTCTTCATGAAAAGGGATTGCCTTATGGTCATTTGCATACAGGAAATGTTCTTCTCTCGTCTGCAGGTGCTAAATTATTGGATATTGAAAACGGTCTGCTTGGTCTGCCCGCATTTTATCGGCCTTACGTGGTCCAGAGACGAAAACTGCATGCAACTGTATGTTTTTAGAATATCTAGAAAAGTAGTGAATAATAATTTTTAGTTATAATTAATTTTACATTTTTTCTATGTTTAATATTTTATATTTCTTATTTATTTCAAATAGACGCAAGTAGACGTTTATGCATTCGGTCATGTTTTGTACGAAATGGCGTTTGGAAGACCGTTAATGGAAGCAACATGTTCAGATTTGTCGCACTGTGATTCAAGTCTGAAGAATTTGTTAGATGTTATTCTCTCTCCAGAAGCTCTGAAGCAAGATCTACCAACAGTTCCACATCTTATGGAACATCCATTTTTTGAAACTGCGAAAAGAACTGCTTCCACTAATGCCGGTTCTATGGAGAAACCACATTTTAAATTAAGTAGTCATCTCAAAGATGCTTTACTTGAAGCTTCGAATAAAGCGGAGTTGCGTCTCAGGGATGAGCAGAAAGTCGCTAGACACCAAAAAAGACTCGTCAAGGTCCAGGAAATGATGAGTTCTGAAGAAGAGATGAAGAAACGCAAACAAAAATTGGTAATTTTTAAAACACGTAGGGGAGATCGGGGAAAAAATAGGCAGGTAAGACATTTTTGGTTCTAACTGACAACTGGAACATGAATCGGCTGGGCTAAAATTTTGTCATATGTTGTTTTGATGTAGATTGCAATGCAGACGAGATATAGCGGAAAAGTTGAATATACTTTTTAATTTTTCTTGCCCCAGCAGTACGACAAGAATAGTTTTTTATCATTATTTTTCATAACTGCACTTTACATAAAAAAGTGGATTTTACTTGAAGAAAAAATTGCATCTAAAAACTGGAGAGAAATTTTTTCTTTCGTCTTTTCCCACGTGGGATCCTATATATGATCCCAATATAATATATAATATAATTCCTTCCTATAATTTTTCTGGCATATTATTTTTGTCTATTCCCTACGTCGATTTCTTTTATAATTACCCACATCAAATCAAACCATATGAGATTTCATGTGCATTCATACATGTGATTTCACATTGACTTGAACATAAGAAATCATACGGGATTTCATGTAGATCCTGAAATATTTACCTAAGATTTCACATGGAATTATATAAAGGAAACAATATTGGATTTCATGTGGGAATTTTTAGTAGGCTGCTTTATGCAGATGACAGTTTGCAAAAATTAAAAATTATTTAATTAAAAATCAAATAATAATACTGCAATTCATCTGAAAAGAAAAAATTAGTGCTTTGCAATACACCTTCTTAATTATAATCCAGCTTTTATAGTATTCAAGACTGATCTCAACTGAGAGAAAAAAAATTATCACCATATGGTGGCGTAAGAGTGGAAATATGATGTGGTATCTTATGTGGATAACTAAAACAGTGAAATCTACACATAACATCCCATATGTCTTGTTTATAAGTTTTAATTCTGTATTTCTTTTTTTTGTAAGGGCTTTTTAGCCTGTTTAATAAAATAAATAAATTAAAATATGGACTCCTATATGGTGAATTCTTATTTGAGATCCTATATAGGAATCCATATGAGAACATATGAAGGATCTTATGTAAGATACTACATAAGATTCTACATGGATTCTTACATACATGAAGGGATCCACATAAAAGTCCATATAGAATCTTATGTAGGTTCTTATATATGTTCTCATATTAATTCCTACATAGGATCTCATTCACCATATAGGAATACATATGGGATGTCATGTGTGGATTTCACTGTTTTAGTTGTCCAAATAAGATACTTCATTCTTCTTCTTTCCTTTAGTGGCTTTTTGATGAGGTCATTTAGCCATAAACTAACACATATAGATTGTTTGTATTTAAGTCAGTATACATATGTAGTTAGAATAATATAGTATAGCACATATGTACATTCACAGCACTTTAAGTGGCATAAGCATTTGATTTCAAGTTACTAAATGGCACCAGAAGTCACTATATATTAAACCGTGTTTCATCACTCGCCAAAAGTTTGCACGCTATACTTTCAGACTGTTTAGGGCTTGTTTGTATTACAAGCACGACAGGGCAGTGCAGCTCTGTCAGCAGATGGGCTGTGTGGAACACTATTTCATAGTGATACAGTCCATCGATGGAGGTTGCTGTATAAGCATGCGCAATTGGTTACTGGCAAAATGGCTCCATCATACACATATTAGCGCGTGTTTTAAATTAGGTGTTTGAAAGATGATAGATATACATGTTGGTTGGTCCGGCAACAGTTTTCATAAAGCATTAAGGTGGGTAACAAAGAGATTGGAAAGGAATTTTTGCAGGAATTATAAATCTCTGGCATGAACAAAGCAAGCTGTATATAATAAATTGATGTTATTTTTTTCAAAAATTTATAAATTTCATTGTGGTCTTCCGGGTGACAGCAATGTACATTCGTTAAGCAGGTGGAATAAGGTTTTATCTGCAGTTCTACAGGCGCACTCTGCGGGAATATTCCACTTTAGTTTTTGAAAATGTTCTTTAGTACAAGTATGCGATGATCTTAATCTTGTTAACAAACTCGCTGATCCTCATCTGGATAGCTCCATACTCCGGAACCAAGGTTTCCAGGTTTCATATTTAATTTTATTCAAGATTCTGTTGGCGGATACTGAGTGTTTTTGTATGGCTATAGCCTATTGAATCTTCCGCCAATTATTTTTTGAATTTAAAAAAAAGGTGTTTCAATGAAACAACACAGATCGGGTTAAGCAAGAGAGCCGAAGCGCTCCGAATGTTGTTATGTGAAGGAATCTAGACAAGAGATATCTAAAAATTTGGAGGTGAGTCAGTTAGCAATTCTGCAATCTTGTACGGTAGATTAGAATCAGAATGGGTCAAGTCTCTGCACTTAGTTATTAAATTTATCGAGTCCAATGAATCAGACAGGATCACATCTCAATATCCCCTTATTTCTTATATATTTAATGGCGCAAAATATTGCATAGAGTTCACCTGCTAATGGGGATGAGTACTTAGAGATTGGAAGCCCACATCGGATTCCAGTCTGTTTTACATAAAATCCTGACCCAGCATGTAATGCTGTTGGGTTGACTGATCCACCTGTATAAATATAGATTGAATTCGGAAATGAGGATTTAAAAAAATGTGTGCAAGTCACGGTCAGGATTTGGGGATTTTTTTAATTCATTTCCTAGATTGGTATTCACTAATATGTAAATGGATATTGTTTCCCAATTTGTATCGAAATAAAGAGGGCGTCCAGTCGTATAACATATGTTAAGCAATTCCTGCAAAGAGATCATTGTGCTATAAGGCTCGTCTCATCTCTTGAAGCATAGAGTCTTTTGTCTTACATGTAATCATGAAGTAGTATAAGAAGCACTCACTCTATAGGCCAAAAAAGTGGACAGATTTTTTTATAATTAAAGTTAAAGTTGAAAAATAACAGTAGAAAATTCGAAAAACTTGAAAGACTGTAAATTCTAAAACATGATATAAAACTAGATGAAACTTATTATTCAGGGGTTTTGAGGGTCGCTGATTACGAATCCGAAACTAGTTTTTTTAAAATTCAATATGGCGGATAAAATATAGTGGACGACTATTTTTAAAATTCATTTAATTCACTTGAAACTCGCTACTCAGGGGTTTTTGGGGTCGCTGATTATAAATCCAATGTCAGTTTTTTAAAATTCAAAATGTCGGACCCAATATAGTGGATATTTTTTTAAAAACAGTATAAAAATGGTCGTAAAGGATTTGCGATTTTTGCCAGATAGTGGTTTTCATTTTAAGTATAAAAACAATTATTTTAAAGATTATATTAACTTAACGATTTATGATACATTGTGACATCACCATTTAGCAAAATCATAAAACTAGAACGATTAAAAGTATAATTGAATAAAGTAAAATATTAAACGAAAAACATAACGTGTAATAAGATTATGACATCAATGGAAATCACGATCAGAACGAATGAAAATTTAGTAAGAACGTAAAACTAGAATAGTTAAAAATATAATTAAATAACGTAAAGTATTAATCGAAAAACATAACGAGTAATAAGATTATGCCATCAATGGAAATCACAAATAGAACGAATGAAAATAAATAAATGATTGGATTGTCTTGACGATTTATTCCTTATTATGGCATCGCCATTTAGCAATTCGCACTAAAACACCTACTTGAAAAGGTCTATCGCATACGAAACACGACAACCTATTTCGGAAAGACATTTTTTAGTATAATTAAACTTTAATTCCTAACAAAATCTTGAAATGTTATAATCGAAATACAGGAAGATTACCAAAAAAACCCAATTTTAAAATAAAGCTAAAAACAAATCACGATATCATCGACGATTTTGTTTTCTGTTTTTCGGGTTCCTTTAATACGCGTTTATTACGAGTATAAATAAACTTCAATTCCTAACAAAATGTCGAAATGTTATAATTCAAATACAGGAAGATTACCAAAAAACCCAATTCTAAAATACACGTAATAACAAAACACGATATCATGAACGATTATGTTTTGTTTTTGTTTTCTTTCTGTATCGTTCCTTTAATATGCCGTTATTACGTGTTTCAGTGAATTACAATTTTTATTTTATTACTTTTATTCTTATTATTATTTCTTTTTCTTTCTACTCAACACATCTTTCACAATGTAACATATATATGTATATATATTTTTTTCTTTTATTTCATGTTTCTATTGCTCCTAAACATTTAATACGTATTAATACTATTAACAATGCGTGTTAAAAATATCTCAAACTGATTAAAAAGAAACTTCTTTTACAACTATGTATATTTTTATTTCGAAACTCTAGTGTCAGATTCGTAAAAAGCTTGTATTAATGAATATGTTATTAGATGTATCAGTTGTTGGAAACATGCATGTGAGACGAGACAAAAAGAAAACAAAACATAATCGTTCAGGATATTGGGTTTTGTTATTAGCTTTATGTTAGAATTATGTTTTTTTTATTCTTTCTGTATTTTAAGTATAACAGTTAGACATTTCGTTAGGAAATGCAGTTTATTTATACTAATAAATGACTTTCAGAAATCGGTTGAGGTGTTTCGTATGCGATGGACCTTTTCGAGTAGGTATTTTAGCGCGAATTATATTTCCAAACGTTCTAGTTTTATGCTTTTGCTAAATGGTAATGTCACAATGTATCATAAATCGTTAAGTTAATATAATCTTTAAAATAATTGTTCTTATGCTTAAAATCAGAACCACTATCAGGCATAAACCGCAAATTCTTTACGACCATTTTAATACTTTTTTTACCAAAACCTGTTTACAATGTATTTTGTGCGGGGTTTTTTTTATATGAAATATACAGGGTGTTCCAAAATATGGAAACTTGAAAATATCTCAAAAAGTACGCATTTTCGTGATACTTCTTTTTTCACTATTGGATCCCGGGACAATTTTTTGGGTTCAAAAATGTAGATCTTTTTTTTGGGAACAACTTTTGTTTTGGACATTTTTTATAAAAATGCGTACTTTTCAAGATATTTGCAAGTTTCCATATTTTTGGAACACCCTGTATATGACTACAATTAAAAAAAAATTATTTATATGTCCAT